AAATGAGGGTCAGCTCTCTCTTAGCTTGAACCCAGGACAAAGAGCAGGAGTTGCTTAGAGTTGGGATGAGCTGAGGGGCTGCCGTCTTTCAAGACACCTCATGAAGGACAATATTTCATAAGACCCAGGGCTAGTGGGTACTCCAGCTGGTGTCATTAAGACCAAGATGGGGAAGTTCTGGAACCCATCAGTCACTTGTTCCCCTTGGTAGCTGCTGCCCTGAAGCTGCTGCACCTGGTAGCTGTGTTCTCCCAACCCCAAGCCCCACCCAGAGTTTCCAAAACCAGCATTCTAAGTGAGTCATGGGCAGCTAATAAAGAAACACCCAGAAAACTGCAGGTGGCAAAATTACTATGTCATTCTTCATCTTCTACCAGAGATGTCCGGGATGGATGAGTCGCAGGAGCTTCCTGCAGCTTGTAATTTTGCCTCTGCAACTGCCTGGCCCCTACGGGGATGGCTACAACCTGGGACAACAGATCCCTAGAATAATCACAACAGAGTCGGGTAGAGCAGCAAAAGGCCAGTCAATGCAGGTGCTGCTTCCTAAGTGAGCACAGCACACCGACAAAGAGGCATCCTTTGAGCAAGGCTGTCACCCACAACACGCTCCCCCAGTGATGCAAGGGCATCGGAGAGAAAACTTGAGCATGCTCAGTTCCCTACCTGATGAGCAAGCAAGTTTTAATGAAGATGACATTGCAGTTTCACAACCTAGCATTGCAGAGTGGAAGATTCAAAAGGATGGCAAACTTCACCTCTTTCCTGACCTTGTGACCTTGGGCCAAGTGCTTAAACTCTCTCAGCCCCAGTTTCTTCATCTGTAAAATGGGGATAATAGTATATTATTATAGAGGATAGTGGAGCTTAAATGAAATAATAAAAGCAAACTGCTTTGTGCAATGCCTGGAACATTGTCAACACAATACATGCCGATTGCTATTGTGACCATGGTTTTCATCATTGTTGCAAGCCACTTCATCATGTAACATATGGCAATAGCTCCCAAAGCCACCCTTGATTGAGACTCAGTGCTGTAAGTACCAATCTCCATGCTAGGGAATTTACATGCATTTCTCAGTGTATCCTCACTGCATCGTTGCTGGGTAGAAAATAGACTCAAGAGGTTGATTTGTCCAGTGACTTAACAGCATCCAGTTAATTGCTTTAAACCCGAAATCACTTCTACCAGCCAGTAATGAATGATGACAATTATTTCTTCCATCTAGGTGGCACTCTTTCATTCTGAAGTCGGCTTTCTTTAGGGGATTTAAGACAGCCTGACCTTCACCAGCTGGGATCAGAGATAGAAAATAAGGAGCTCACAAGCTTGCAGACTGGTGGAGTAAAGATGATCCATTGGTGAAGAGCACCTAACCAAACCACCAGAGCATGGTGGCCCACCCAAACGCAACACAGAGTAAATACAGCAAGGGTGGAGAGATAAGTCCACTGATCTCTATTTCTCTGGGAAGCAGGTTCATTTGAGTCAACATCTCCCATGGTGAACAGAAGCATCTCATGTCTTTCATACTAGCCCTACCTGAGTGAGGCTGTGAACCCCAAGGGCTGGTGAACCTTGGAGACAGATTCCTCCATCAGCGAAGGCTCCTGCCATTCCCCTCCCTCCCTTTCCTCACTTGCCACTCCCAGGCCAGAGGACTAGGGTAAGCCCCAAGAAGGTGATTTCCTTCTCATGCCCCACTCGAGGTGGCTGGGCACCCTGAGGTTGTGAGGCTCGGCCACACTACAGCCAGATCTGCCTAACGCTGTCCCCAGGCATTATCATCATGGGGGAACAAGATGGCGTGTCACCGCCCTTCACAGTGCAGACCAGAGCCAGAGCCGACAGTGACAAACAGGCAGACAGACTGAGCCGGGCATGGATGCAGCCCCAGAGGCCCCCTTGGCTGGGTCAGCAGGAGGAAGGCTGCCACCAGGGTCCAAAAGCAGGGAGTTCTCTTCTGAAATTCACAGTGGTGGGGGAATGGGAACGATTACAAACAAGGAGGAGCCAGCACCCGGTAGCTGTGTTCTCCCAACCCCAAGCCCCACCCAGAGTCCCCAGAACCAGCATTCTAAGTGCGTCAAAAGATTTGCCTAGGAAATCTCAGTGGGTAGACCTCAGAGTCACTGAAATGGACCCTCAGGGAGTGCATACCCCTGGGGAAACTAAGACCCAGATAGAGAAAGGAACTTGCTGCATTGAAGTGATACAATGCAGGCTAGATTGCATGTGGATTCAGAAGGGATCCCACGGACAAGTTCATGCACCACTCTGAGCCTCAGTTTCTTGATCTGTAACATGGGAATTCTAATACCTGCCTCACAGACTGGGGCGAGTCTTAACTGAAATAGTGCAGCTGACACACCAGGCAGAGACAGAGGCCACACAGGCAACGGGCAGCAACACTGAAATTCCAACAGAGAGCATCTCATTTCCCAGACTGGAACCTGCCGCACCACACCAGGCTGCCTCTCTTCCTGTTACTTGTTAGAATCAACAGATAGGGAACTGGTCCCTGGGGTTTCAGCTAATAGTTGGGTTACACACTCATTTTTCCACTGAGACTCAAATGCTATCTTTCTTCTTTCTGGGAGATCAGAGAGCAACTTCTTTGCACACAAGAACCAAGACTGTCCAAGAGGCAGTTGTGCTCCTGGTGCCTCATACTGCTGGGAGCTGCCTTTTAATTAAGGACTTTGCTTCTGTCCACAGGCAAGCAGAAAAGCTTTTCCTCTTAGGTGGAGACTAGGGCAGGAACAAAAAGTTAGAAGCCACAATGAATCCTCAAAAACTCTTTGGTAGGGACAGGGGCTCAAATGTTCAAATCCATGGGGGTTTTTTGGGGGGTTTTTTTTGTTTGTTTTTGTTTTTTCAAAGCAGGAGGGAGATGTTTTTACTCTGGCCAAAACTAAAATGCAGAGCAGTGGTCAAACCCCTGGAGGGGGCCCTGCTGACATTTACTCATAGGATGGCGATGACCAAGGACAGATGGCTGCTACAGGCAGCCACCCAGAGTCATGCCAAGGCAAATGCCAAGCACCCTTAGGGCCATGGGTAAGTGGGGAAGGGGAGTAAACTGCAAGGCATTTAGCCACAGAAGCCCCAAATTAACCATCAGACCACAGGCTGTAAGTGCTTCAAGAATAAAACATCATCATAAAAGCCACCATTTATTATGGACCTACTGTGTGCCAGGAACTGTGCAGAAGGCTTGGCATGCATGAGCTCATCTAATCCTCACAACTATCTACAAGGTGAACCTCTTAGTGTCCCCATTTTACAGATGAGGAAACAGGTTCAGAGGCTTTGAATTCACTTGAGGTCACGCACAATTGCTTAAAAGTAGAATAACTGGGGTTCAAACCCAGGCATCTGTTCCTGGTTGTGACATCTGCCTCACCTGGCTGTTGCTACACACTGGACATGTCACTATCATGCTTTTCTTCATCCACGCTCATGCAGTCACTCTCTTTGACTACCACGCAGGCCCACCCTCATGAAGGGTGCTCTCTCTGGCAGTGATTTCTCTGGACAAATTAATAAATTGGCTTTCTGGTGTGGACCTGTGAGTCATGGGTGCTATTTTAGCTTGCTCGATTTAGAGCCTGACTAACCTGGGCACTGAGACAAGGCAGTCTCTGGATTGACCCCTATATGATGTCCACATGGTTTATCAGTCTACACCCTCAGCTGATTCCTACCATGGATGCGCCATATACACCCGTGGGCTATAAACCAAGCTCACCATCCGGGCCCGAGCCTAACCATCTAGCTGGATGTTGGATATTACATGTGCCTTTTTTTCCAGGCAAGAATTAATAGATCTTGCCAAATTCTCAACATGTAGGAACCCTTATGTGAAAGTAATGAAGAAAATCCCACATTTAGAGAAAGGCATTCTGCTGGCTATTTGAGCAGTCATGGTTATCAAATGATGCATGATGTGTTAGAAATAACCCAATTCAAATCCCAGCTCAAATACTCAACACCTGTGTGACTTTGAGCAAGTTCTTTGACGTCCCTGGGCCTCAGTTTCCCCTTATGTACAATGGGAATAATCCATCTGCACGAGGGATTGTTGCAAGAACTAAATGGGGCCCTGCCTGTGAGTGATTAGCATGTATCAGTGCTCAGTGAACACGTCTCATCATTTCTCAGAGCAGCAACACAACGTGCACAGCCTGTGGCTGAATTAAGGGCCAAGGGTTATGTCTTCTACATTCTCAGAGCCCTTCCTTTTCTTGAGCAATCAATCAATAAAAGTTGTTGTCTTGGCTGGAGGACTGGTTGGGCTTTATTCAGGGGGGTGGCCCCTCTGACCATGTCTGTGTCTGTTCAGCAAATCGGGCCTCTGGGTGGAGAAGATTAAACACCTTCTGAAACCTCAGCCCTCCATCACCAAAAAGTTCCATTTCTGCTCCAAGTAATAACCACCCTGTCTCCAGCAGAAATTCATATGAGCAGAGAGTAAACCACCCCAGGCCATGCTCAACCCCATTTGAACCCAAATACATCTTTGAGATGGAAAGGTTATATATGTTGACCTGAGTGGGGAAAAAAATACAAAACTGAATCATAGATGCCTTAGCCACAGCGGCCAAGAAAAGTCCTGTAATCAGACAGCTGAGAGACAGCGGGGAGGAGGGAGAGAGAGGGCGGGTGCTTCCCTGAATGCCTGCTTGCTTTCCTCTATCTTTCCTTCACACCTGCAAGGGAAAGAACGGGAACCAGGGACCAATGACAACACCCAGTCAACCTCCCCAGCATCAATGATGCCCCCCTCCAAAACCATCCAAATGGATGTGAGTGGCACAGGCAGATGTTGGGCGGGGGGAGCCATGGGCAGAGCATGGGTGAAGCTCTATCAGTGAGCATTTTACAAGCCCTCGAGATAAAGAAAAGAGAGTTTGCACCTGGCGCAGAGGACAGCAGGTGCCGGGGAGAAGGAGGTGGCGCGGCCGGCGTCCCCAGTGCAGCCCGGCGGGGGACTTACTTGCAGAGAAGTTGGCCTCGGTGTGCACAGGAGGGGTGGAAGGCAGGAAAGGTGCGTGTCCCACAAAGAAGGAGCGGAGGGAGCGCTCGGACAGCAGTGGGGAGCGCTGCTGAGAGGGGATGTTCTCGCAGCTGCCTACACTGCTGTGGATCTTGAGATTCAAGGGTTTGCTCTTCTTCTTGGCTCTGAAAGGGAGACAGAAAAAGAGGAAAAAGAAATATATCCATAGGTGCGCAAAGTTACAGCAGGGAGGCCCAGACTTGTGTTTCCCATGAGGGATCCAAAAACCCACAGGGAGAAATTAGAAGAGCCACAGGCTTTTAGGTAGAGACACAAGGCTGGGCAACAAGGGTTTGCCCTCTCACCCCTAGGTCCCTCTGAGAAGCTCATTCTGCCATGGAGCACAAGCAAACACTTCAGCCATTCTTTTTCGCCCAGCTCCCTAGAGAAGCTCCAGAGAGCCAGGGTCAAGTTCAGCTTCCAACTCCAATCCCACAACTTTTGCCTAAACATCTTGAGTCCCCAGAGCTCCAAGCCCCCAACCTGTGGCCAAGCTGCCCTTTGGCCATTTGACAAAAAGAGCAAATCCCAGGCTGTCCTCAAGTGAGTCCAGATCTGTGTCAAGGTGGCATTCACCATCTACATGCTTCATCCCCAAATCCACTGCCCTTCCTCCAGGGAACAATGATCAGTGCATTTCTGTAGATGTTAAGCCTGACGACTTTCAAGAGATCTAAGTAGACTAAGCCTTCGGTAGGATCCCAGTGCCTCTTCTGCAAATGCTTCCTCTTGCTCAGAACTTCTAGTGCTGGGCTCCTTCTTCTCAGCCCACCCACGGCTCTGTCTGGCTCTTGGTCCAGTGCCTGCCAGGAGTCTCAGACGGTGCCCACCTTAGGAGTTCAGCAGGGAGGGTGCTCCCCCAGATCATAGGCTGGATCTGATGGGGTGCCTCACAGGCAGCTGCCAGAGATCAGAAGAGTGATACAGACGAGGGACCCTGGGTGCCCCCACCCTTCATCGCTGTGCCCACCATAGCAGCATTGCTGCAGGAGAGCAGGTGCAGCTTGTAGGAATTACACTATTCTGGGGTCACACTCCCCAGATTCAAATAACTAGTCTCACCAACCCTGGGTGAGTCCATTAAACTTCTCAAGCCTCAGTTTTCTTGCCTACAAAAGAGTCCTCCTTTGGAGAATTGTGGAGTGAATTTAAAAATGCCCATAAGTGACTCAATACAAAGTAGAAACGTGAATTATTATTATTATATTATGGATATCTGTCTGATAGTTCCTTCAGAAGAAAGAATCTGCAGCTAAAACCAAGCAGAAGCTTCTGGAAAGTGTGGTTCTTCTCTTGGGGACTCTTTAAGAGCCAAGAGATTGAACGGTATTCTTTGTACACTCTGTGCCCAGCAAAGCGAGTCACATAGAGAAGGAACTTAAATATTTGTTGAATGATCTCTAAATGGTAAAAGGAAGGAAGGTAAAGAGGAGCTCTTCCAGGGACCCCTCAGCTCACAGCCTTTGATCCATGGCCAGTTACAGATTCATTCAAGAGAAGAGAGAGAGGTGATGTCTGATCTCAATCCTACACATGGGCATTGGTCTCACCCCACCAGTGAGTGAGCATCTGCCTTCTGCCTACAACATGGTGCATTCATGGCAACAATTGTGCAATAAAGCCAGGGGCTCTCCCTTACACAGAATCATAAAGGTAATGCATAGGTAACTCACTGAAACAGGTAATGGCGTGATATTTAAGCAATTAATAGAAATGTGTTATGAGTGCTAGTATCCATCAGAGTTAAGCTTATGACACAATCTGATACTATCAAAAATAAGTGCAATGTATACCGAAGGCTGAGAATAACTATGCCCTCAAGAATGGATCCGTCACATGCTGGCCATTTCTTAGTATAGAGCTATCCTGTCCAATAACAGAGCTACTCGTCCACATTAGCACTTGAATTTGTGGCAAGGCTTGACTGAAATAGGCTTAGAATGAAAAATAATAATAATAATGGACAATATCTAACAATACTTTTGTAAGCATCAAATGTTGGGGTAAATAAAATACATTGCTAAAAAAAAAAAAAAAAAAGAGGGCTGGGTGCAGTGTCTCATCTCAGTAATCCCAGCACTTTGGGAGGCCAAGGTGGGAGAATAACTTGAGGCCAGGAGTTTGAGACCAGCCTGGGCAACATAGCAAGACCCTGTCTCTATAAAAAATTTAAAAATTAGCCGGATATGGAGGCATGTGCCTGCAGTCCCAGCTACTCAGGAGGCTGAGGTGGGAGGATCACTTGAGGCCAGCAGTTTGAGGCTGTAGTGAGCTATGATTGTACCACTGCGCTGCAGCCTGGGTGACACAGTGAGACCCTGTCTCTAAAATAATAATAATGATAACAATAAAATTTAAAAATGATAAAGAAAGTGAGGGGCTTAGCAATTATTCACAGTCTGTTGCTGAAATAAAAAAAAAAGCAGGGTATTTAAGATTCTTTTAGAATTGTTTCTTTTTTTCTAGGCATCTTCCTTGCCAACAGATTATTAGGAGGTGAAATTACTCCATTTCCAACAGGACCTCTCATACTGAGAGAGAGATGGAAAGGAGACACTAAAAACAAGGATTCCAGCCAGGTGCTGATTAAGCTTTCATCTGAAACGGAGAGAATACAGCTCTGAAATTATAGGCATAAAACATGGACATTTAAAATTTTTCAACTTGATCAAACAGGAGGTTTCATCATCATAATAACAACAGCAACAACAGCCAGTGTTACTGCTGCTTTGATTTGAGTGCCGACTGTCCTAGGGACTGTATCAAGTGCTTTGCTTTTCATGTATGACCTCACTTAAGTGCCATAGTAACCCTAGGTGGGAGATGCTGTTATTATCCTCTCCCCAACGATGAGGACTCCAAAGTAAAGAGACCAGGGATGCGGTGAAAGTGGTCCCAGCCCTGAAACCAGGCAGTATATGGCACCAGGGTGCATCTCTCAACTGCACCCACACCAGACCCTGTGTGTCAGTCCCAACCCCACATCATCACCCACCCCAAGGTCAGCTATACTGAGAAGTTTGATTTGGGACATGCTCAGGTCAGAGGCACAGGGGTGGCCAAGAACTGAGCCCCAAATCTTCACTTTTGCTTCATCCACCTCTTTTCTTGGAACCCTTTCACCAGAACCACCCAGAAACCCCATACAGATATTTCCCTTTGACCCCCTGTCTCCAGCACTGAGCCCTTTTGCTCTGGAGTAATTAAAGAGAAAAATGCTGTAATAGATGAAGGAGACGGGGCGGGGACCCTGGAGAGTCCCTGTTTAGTGGCCCCCATGGAACGGCAAAGCTGCCCCTTACAGAGTGTTTCTACCATTTCTCTCCCTCCTCCACCTGGTGAACCCCTACACATACTCCATGGTCCAGTTCAAATATTAACGTGTATAATGCCCTCTCCAACCCACAGAGTCAGGTAACTTATAATGCCCTCTCCAACCCACAGAGTCAGGTAACTTATCATTCCCTCACCTCACTCTCTTAGTACCTGCTTTCCCATCACATGCTGGAAAAGACCCAATTTCCTTAACATGGTCCCCAATATCTACCCACACACACACACCTGGGTCTGGCTCTAGGGCCTTCTCACTCTTTGTATATGCTCTCTCCACCACCTGGAGTACCCTCTGTTGCTTTGCCTGGTTAAACCCTATTTGTCTTTTATGACTTGGCTCTGATGTCCTCTCCTCCAGGAAGTCTTCCTTGATATCCTAATTCATTTCAGCATGAGTCAGGTGTTCTTCCTCCAGGAAGTCTTCCCTAATACTCCCTCTTCCCTCCTAGACTTGGCTGGGTATTCCTTCTCAGTTCTCTCTCTCTCGATTGATTGATCATTAGATACACAGATAGATAGATAGATAGATAGATAGATAGATAGATAGATAGATAGATAGACAGACAGACAGACAGACAGATAGACAAACAGATTGATGGCTACAGTTTCCCATTTTTTCACATTTGCTGTCTTCCAAGTAGACTGTGGTCTTTGAGGGCAATGACTCTGTACGGTTCATTTTCCTATTCTTGGCAACCAGCACAGAGCCTGGCACACAGTAGGCGCTCATTAAATGCTTACTAAATGACTGTTCTGGATTAAGACTCTGGCACACATCACATTCCCTTTTAATTCTTTGCCTTCCACACGTGACTGTAGGCTCCTTAAGGTCAGGAACCATGTGGTTTTCCCTGTTGGATCCTTCATCCCTTAGCTTGGTACTAGTTGAATGAAATGAAACTTTTCAGTGGGCTTGAAAACATTTCTTCCCTTCCCAAGGAGCGTGCTTAACAGCGCTTAGTTCAAAGCTGCATCCAAAAGGAATCTTTCAGCTCCTCCTACCCACCTCCCCCAAACTCCCGTCCTGCCTGCCCGGGAGTGGAGCGCCCTCTTGTGGCCAGAGCACAGCCTCCTTGCAGATTTTCAGAATCCCTGGATGGAGAGTTTAGAAAAGTCTGTTGGTTTAAGCCTGGGGGCATCCCACACAAGCAGCTGAAAAGTCCCACTGTGCAGGAGGCCTGCTGCTCGCTGGCTTGAGGGAGTCTAAGCATGCCTGCAAAGTCTCCTTAGTGCCTGGAACGCCAACTCTGCTTATCTCCCCCAGGGCTCACGGCGAGGACCAGAAAGGAGCTTCCCCGGCGAGGACCAGAAAGGAGCTTCCAGTTACAGCAGCACATACTGGCTGACTCTTTCTTGCCCATGGTCAGAGAAGAAAGGAAAGCAAGGCAGGGCTTGGGGGGTGGGTGGGGGGGAGCGGTTCCATTTCATCATTTCATCCCACGCAAATGCTCAATGTTGAAGATTCAAAGAAACATCCATACACGGACACAAATGACTGTTCCTAATGACTGTGACTGCGTACTTAAGATTTAGTGAATATTTTGCAGCATGTCCCACAGATGCAGTGTAATTTAGTGGTTAAACTCATAGGCCTTGGGATCAGAGAGACTGGGACTTCAGTCCTGATTGTGACCTTGAGAAAGTGATCTCAGTTTCCTCATCTGGGCAATGGGGACAATACTAACACAATCTCAGAAGGCTACTGTGAGAATTCTATGAGATAACAAGCTTGGCACGGGACCCAGCACAGAGTGAGGGTTCAGGTGATGTCACCTGCTATTAAAGTCACGAT